AGAGATTAGGCCCGCGATTGCACGGCGGGATCAGCAAAGTCTCCGTTCAGTTTCCAACTCACGTTTGGGCACAGCGCGGATTACCGTTTTTCATCACGCTGGATTTCGGCACGTCTCGTTCGTCTCCGGAATAATAGATCCCCGTCTAGCCTCGTTCATTTTAACGGAAGCGTTAAATCTAGTGCGCGATTCCGTAATGCACCATCGAACGATCGGTCCTAATTGGCGGCGGCTGGTTCGTTAATCGCCGGAATAATGTAGAGTCTCGTAGTTTAATCATTTACGAGCACTTCGGCGAAGTCTAACGACGCTGGGAAACCAATCAGAGGAGGTATACGATTTTACGTCTTGCAGAAGCAACGTATAACGTGGCCAAGGTTTAATGCCTTGATTAATATGATGGTGTCGATAAGTCGATTTAGATACGCTCGATAGATTTATAGGAAACACGGTAAGAGTTTAGTACAGGATCACGCGATATGCTTAATAGAGAATATGTTTCTTGTAATGTTGCCATGCTGCTAATTTTTTTTATATTTTCTGAGGAAAAATTCAATACAATGATAATGCAGGAAATTAATTTATTTCCAAACTACATCGAATACGATTTGCTGTCGATATTTCACTCAAAATTATCTTTATTGGATATTGCAGGAAAAAGAAGACGTTCTGATTAAAAACGAGAAGGTATCGGCGCGAACTTTTGCTTTGAAAAAGAGAGCTTGGAAGTTGGAAAATGGGATGTCTGGTGACTAGTTTAGCGGATTTATCGTTGCTCGATTTCGATCGAGATTGGAATCAGAACAATGACGTCGTGTTTCCGCGCAAAAAGGAAATGGCGCTCGTACGTCAATTTGGCAATTACCGCTCGCGATGTATATCAGTGCATGATTTTTAATTGTCCACGCGTTATTTCGCTTCGTATCGATAATCACCGTACTATTCTAATCTCTATGAAACGATACTGAATAGATTCGCACGCAAAGCTAATAGACACTCGATAGATTATAACGCTCGTGGATTTCTGATTGCATTAATTATGATCGCTCTTGCTCATGCACAAACTAATTAATCGATCAATTAGTATCAATAACATTCGTTGTTGTACATTCCTGCCGCCTACATACGGCATGTTTTATCGAATTCCGTAACATATTCTGCCCCTCGAATTTAAAACTCTTTTCTCACTAATTTTATCATGCATTATTAGTCTCGTCGATTAACGGATAAAGAATGGAATCATCGTGTGATATTCATTACACAATGCATATGAAAATAAATTAAATATTAAATAATATTAAAATAATATTAATATATTAAATATTGATAGATTGAAATACATGTCGTCGCTTTTATTGCGTGATAAAATAAAATTGATATTAATATAAAAAATACAATAAAAGTACATTTTTGTGATATTTTTATGTTTACGCTGTCTCTTTATGACAATTTAATAAAATTATCTGATTTGTATAAAATAAATAAAATTTTTACTATCTGCTGTATGTATTCTTAAAACTTCCTCGTGATCTGTAGTTATACAATCTGAATTAAATTTTAGAATTTCAGAAGAACAGACAGAAACAATTGAATCAAGTTATTCTTACGTTATTCTTCGCGTAACTTTGGAGAATTGTTCGACGAAAGTAATCGATAGACATCACTATCCGAGTTACACTCCACATGTCGCCAGGCATTCTAAATCTCAGACGTGGGAACTTTTTTCACTTGGCAATACGCGATCGGCTGCTTTTCATTTTTGCTTTTACTTCTTTGCTCTCTCTTTCTCTTCCCTCAGTAGGAAACTTCGACAGAACTTATGCGATAACCGTCACCTCGAATCCTCCCTGCTTCTGTCGTATCGAGTCACCCATATTCCAAGAGTGCTAGAAGAAAATCGGCCACCAACGAATTTCACGTCGGGTACCGAGCGACACTTTATTTTCTCTCAACCTTCTCTTTCGTTCTCGTTCTTCGGTTTCTCTCGATGTCAAAGTTTCATACGTCTATATACCATAGTAGTATTATCTCTCTCATAATAAATTCATAGCCCGCCGAGTTATAATAATGCCGTCCGGCAATACCAAATGACATTATGATGAAAAGTTTCGTGATAGTTGAAACGAAAAAAAGAGATTTGATTAAATACGATCTTATTAGAAGGAAGAAAAAGAGAAAGAATGGTACCAAATTTATTCCTCTTTCCAAGAGTGAGGCGAAGGGCAAAGATGAAGCGCTGAAACGACTTCACGTTTTTCTTCAGTCTTTTCCGTTTTCATTTTTCTGCCTTACTCGAATCTCACTCGGTCTGAAAAATTGCCTCTCGAAGTAAATTCATAATGCTCCGACTTATAATAATTTCGCATTGACATCGCGACATCGTCGTCGAACGATTTGTTCCTTGGCGAAAATTCTTTTCGATGAAATGCAAAAAATTAATGACGATATTGTGATCAAAAGGGAAAGAAGAAAATATAACACGTGGTTCAACACTTACTATGATATTATTTATTGTAATATGTTACTTACCGTAATATTACATAAGCAATATTACAGTAAGTAACGATAATCATCTTTGAAAGAAGAAAGTATGAATGTCGTTTCGAAATTTTAATATCCCAGAGTTTTAATTAACTTTTCACAATAGTTTTTCAAGGTTGTTCGTTTCATAAAGACCTTCCACGTTATTTCGTCGATGGTGGGTTCCTTTCTCTTTTCGAGATAATTTTCAAATTCTCTTTGGATATAAATTTCACTCCCTACATCGTACATAAGACTGCTTCTAAGAAAAGTTAAAGTTTTATTTAATAGAATATGTATGTTTGCAAAAACTGTTACTTGTATTACAAAGAATACGATATAAATTCTCGTATATGAACAAGTTCCTGTACTAACACAGACACGATCGCCATTTGAGATATGTATAATATTCTCAACCATGAAATCGCTCGAAAATATTACCAAAAATATTTCCCTTCCATTTCCACGCGCGTGTACGCTTTAACGCGCTTCTGGCATGTTTACGAGTTTAAGAAAAATGCATTCTAACTCGCTATCCTAGGAGGAACTCCAGTCCATCATAGTACTATCGAATGAACATTTCCTCGCGTTTTCCTTTTATAACTTGACGTCAGTGCCAATGAATAACTTTTTCGTTTCCCCAAGTGACCTCTGTTCTATGTAAATTGATTTTTCTCGTGTTCGAATTATTATACGAATATATCTCTATCGAATCTGAAATATTTCAGTTTTTGGGCTATATCATCAAGAGAACCTTTGATTTTTTTTAATATACTCTTTATATTTTCAATATACTATTTATATATACTCTTTAAAATGTCAATTTCCGTAACTTTTAAGTATAACTTTTTTTCTGCCATATTTAATTTTTTCCGAAATATTCTTGTCTCTTTGACTTTTACGAAATCTCCCGTTACAAGTTGAAACCATAAAAAAATCATAGCAATCAACCTATGAACTCTACTTTCGTAGCGGGTTTCACAGTTGGATTGGTTTGACAACCGTGCGATAGTTGAAGCTCAAAGAACTAGTTGCGTTGTCACAACTCGTTCGAGAAGAGGTCGGACATCGCATTCGCGCGTTCTCGTACAATGGAGAACAATTTTCCGAGGGTGAACGTTCCAACCTGATGTTAGCTGGATATGGTAAAGCCGTCCGAGGCACGTGAGTCCGTGCAGGATACAAGCGCGTTGGAGTTCGCTAAATCGAAATTCCATCCTCCCACGGGTCATACTCGTGTGGATCGTCCTCAAAACGGAAGTGTCCACTGTTTCAGTCCTGCGATTTGGTCGATAAATAAAAATTGATTGAATGCTATCATTCTCCTGTGATTCATTCGTGTAACTCGCAATTTTGTCATGCCATCAAGTCAACTGAAGAGAAAAACAATGTTTGTTGTGTTTTTGTGAAAACAAGATTGTAAAAAGGTAAACAATCAGAGGTAAATTTTATTATCAATCTGAAACTATTTATTCATTTAAAAAAAAAAATAAAGATAATTTAAAATTTATTTTATTTTTAAATTTTTATCAACACTCCGTTACGCCATTTCAACAACAATGGGAAAAACTTGGCGAGAAACTACATTGTGGAGAATTAATTTTTTAACAACATTTTTTATGGCTTTATGTAAATATCGCTGTTTTTAATGATACGGCATATTCGTTTTATTTAATATGTTGTCTGGTTGTATTACAATTCATGTATACATATATGCGTAATTAAATCATCTTCTTAATGAATTCATTTTCTTAACTCTATTATATTTAAAGTTATAATTTTACAAGATATGAACTAATTAGAGTTAGTTGACACAACTGAAAATGTATCGTGTGTTCTCGAGCTGGAAATAACCAATTAGCATTTAAATGCCAACGCCACGTCATTGCAATTCGTTCTTTCGTATGCGTATACGCGAATTTGCATTGTAAGCTTGTAAGCTTGTAAGTACACACCGTGGACTGTTTATCTTTAACGAGATACCCGTAGCTCGATCTCAACCCGGATTCGAGGTCGAGCAAAGCGAGGCGGAACGAATTTCGGACGGAGCTGAACCCTTCGGGACAGCAGAGTGGTCGGTTTGTTCCGAGATTATCGAGAAAACATCGCCGATAAAACGGCAAGAAGGTACTGCTCCCGCGAGATTTCCGTCGACAATTCCACCGAGGCGAGGCGTAGTTGCGAAACTTTTCTCGGCTTACAATCGACTGCTACAGGTCGAAAATATCCTCCTTTTTTTTCTCTCTTTTTTCCTCCGTGCCCGCGCACGATTTCCATTGCGCTCGAATCGCGTTTGCAGAGATAAGGTCGATTTCCCTTCGTTGACGATCGCCGACACGATCGACAGGGAGAAAGGACGAGCGGTCGTCAATCGGCGATCGCGTCTTCCTCGAAGAGGAAGCGCTCGTCGACGTCGTCCACGAACGGACGCGATGAACGAGAACGGATCATTGAGCACAGGTGGGCTACGACTGTTTCAGGAGTGACCATCTTGCTATCGCTGACGGTGTTCCTGAACCTCGTCGCCGAAACTTTGCCCCAGGTCTCCGACGCAATACCCTTGTTAGGTACAATTGAGTTTCTACACAGAGCGAATGTCAGAGTATTAAACCAACAAGTATTATCGGTTCACTACGAATGGAATCAATTCTGACGTAGAAACCGTGAAAGTTTAGCCGGATCTTCGGGGAGGCTTCGTACGTGAATATTTGAGAGAAACGGATATCTTTTATGCGTTTATATTTTTCATGAAAGATTTCCATCCGCTTAAAATTGGATCACGAAGATTGAGAAATATATTATACAAAATATATTACTCCGAATTTTTCAATCCATCCTCCCCTTCTACATTTTTAATGCGTGTAAAATCGATAGCTTCTTCTCTCTCGTAAAAAATAACGTTGTTATGTCGTGTTACGGTATCAAATATTGCAATATTCTAACGTGCCGTTTGTTCATATTAAAATATTAGAACACCGAATAACACAATTCTTTAAAACGCTCTCCATTTTTCACTTACGTAGCACTATGAGCGATCGAGAATTTCCGGTTGACAAGTATATTATACATACACATTATCTATGATATTACAAGAAGCACTTTAATCCCCCCGAAGATCTCATATGACGATATCGCAAACGGGCGCCCTGCAGCTGAAACGAAAGTGCTCTCCCGTATTAAAAGAAGAATTGAAAATCATGGAATATTCGAGAGGCATTGTGTAGAAGAGAAAACTCGTTGCTGGTTCTATTCTGTAAAGTTATTTTAACAAGAAGCGTATCGGGGTAAACAAACATTCGCCCCGCACTCGTTTGTTTCTTATATAAATCCGTTGACAGGGAAAGATAGGAGAAGAAGTAGAAACATATAGCTTTCGAAAATCCTTACGAAACTGGACTAATTCTTATCAAGATATAAAACCGAATGCTAGTTTTGAAATACGGATACGTAATCTCGAAGTGCAATCGTTTTATATTGTTGCTCGCGAGAATATAACTGCCGAAATTTGAAGAGTGATAACGATTTTGATAACGCGCTGTTCTGTTTCTATTTTTTTTTTTTAATCGAATATTAAATTAATTTTTTCAAACGTCGAGAACGATTCAAAATTTACAACGCTGTTTGTAAAATTGAATTGAAAAAACATCAATAAGACATTATAATATAATTAGAATAAATATTTTTTTACATTATATATAATTTTTATTATTTTTTTAAATATTGTATTTACATACATTATTATTATTATTTTTATATTATCGAAAAATGTTGCAAACATGTGAGATAATTCCAGAGATCTGTTATCTTTCGTCGCTTGACAATCGCCATTTTAGATATAATTCTTCACAAGTCATAAAAATTCCACGAGATGGAAAAGTTCGGTTGTAACAGTAGATACCCAGATGTCGATCTACAAAGTTTGCGAGAAATAATAAGATTGTGAAGAAAGAAGGGAGAGAAGGGACGACCGCCAAAAAGACGCCTTCGGAGAAGTCAGGAAATAGACAAGGAGCATAGAAGGAGCCAAAGTACGTTCCTAGTTGTTATTGCCAAAAACAAAAGTCGATGAAAGAAAAGAAGATAAAGACGACAGATATAGAGTTATTGTTTTCTCAGTGCGACTCAGTGAGATTCCCTCGTGCTAACTCCGATCGGCTTTAATTGAATAAGTTTGAATTAAATCAACAACGCAGAAGAACGACGCCGTATTCAGCATACTTTGATAAATGAGCATTTTGTCTTTGGTATAGCTGGCAGAATCTTTATTTCTCACCGTTTCTTTTTCAAGCAAGATAACTTCTATCAACATGTGTTTTTATAATCTAGACGCTGCTCTCTTTTACATTTATAATCTATCCCGTTTTACAAGCATTGTGTGAAAATTATGCTAGAAAAATATCAAAAGATACGAATACTTAATCCTCCGCAGCTAACGCAGAAATCTGTAACACAGTTATTGATGTTGAATCTGTAAGACTCATTTAATTAATCATCTAATTAATTTCAAAGAACCAAAATGATATAATTTGTATAATAAAAAATGTATATGAGTAAATTATTTTAATAACTAAGTTTATTTTAATAATAATTATAGTTCAAATTGCAGATGTAACATGAAGAATATAGTTAAACGGATTTGATAGAGTCTCTATCAATTTTGGAGGATTAAAGATTTACAATGCCAAAGCATTACCAAAAACATAAAAATTTGTAGATTGTTCTACTTATTACTTATGTCTGAGTGAATCAAATTTAAGCACAAATTTTTCTTATTGATTTAAAAGTTATTTAATTTTTTTGTTTGTCTTGATTTTTACATAAAATCGCGTTTATAAGACTTATTTGTAAATTTATTGAGAAAATAGCATTATGAGAGAGTTGAATCAAATTTTTTTTATGTATATTAATAAAACTAATAAATATTTATGCAAAAATTTATTTAGATTCATTTACTTTAAGTTTATTTATCTAAAATTGTAACAAAATATGGCGCTACATAAACTATGGTGAACCAAATTTTTGGTTTTATTTTTTTGCAATTGCTTGCAGAGCGTACATAGGACCAAAATTTTTTAGTTGATATTGACTTGTTTTGATTGATTTTTTGACCGATATTTTTAGCTGATGTGCATACAAAACATTCTTAATTATTCGTAACGTATTTTCGAGTATTATCATACCATATCCATTTTGCTTTTAATTAATGAATCTCTAATATAATTTTGAATCTAGAAATCTTTTGTATATTATAAATTTGTTAAAATTTCACATGATCTCTTATTATAATTATTAATTTATTGCTGTTTTAATTTTACTATGTAGGATAATTTTGATTTGCATCAAACAAAAATCATCGGAAACGTTTTAGTTTATGTTAGTGAAGTAAATTAACTAATATTAAAAAAGTCATATTACACTAGTATTTGCTCCTTTCAGGCTGCTTTTTTTAATTTACTCAGAAATATTTTACTCTTTGTGTAGATCTTCATAAATGAATCTCACATGCAAGTCACGGAAAGCTCATTTGAGAGTCGTATGTCATCGTCCACCGCGATGATCGTAGCTGTCACTTCGTTAGTTCTCTCCTGTCCCCGCGATCCATTCTCTTTTTTCGGTATTTGCGCCCGCCATCCATTTTGCGGGTGACGCCTTGACGGTTTTATCGAGCCGCGCTGATCGAAGTAAATTAAAACGCGTCAATCGCCCTACTATTACGGATTCGTTGTCAATGTTGCGACTTTATAATCGGCAATGCGCCTTTACCCTCGCGCGGCATGCCAACTGCGTCGACAGAACAATATGAGAGCTGTCAAAAGAATTGGCCGCATATCTCTTCGGCAATGCTGACACTCTCGTGAACGAGATTCTTCCGTGTCCCTTGCAAAATTAATTAACAGCAGTTCAGAATCGGTCAAAACAACTCCTGCAGTTTCTAGAAAGAAGGGAACTAGGATTGCCGAGAAAAGACAGCTGCTGGGAATTAATATCTGTCGGCCGTCCACGGACGAGAAAAACGACGCTGTCGGACTGGCGTCCATCGATTTCCGTGACGCGCTTTTGCATCCGCGTCGTTACGTCGAACTCGTCGCCAGGCAAGAAATCCGATGCGCCCTCATGTAACAGTGCGCGAGACAGCGTTGCAGCTTGGACATCTTTTTGTAGCTCATCACTCGTGCTTTACACAATGTACACTTCGTACGATCCTCAAGCTATTTTCTAAATTTCCATTGTACATCGAACACTGTTATTATTCGTCGAAAAACATGTAATAATTTAACCTTATATATTTTTCAGATCTCGTAGTTTTTCTTTTACAAAAAAAAAATCAGTGGCAAATTAAAAAAAGTTGATAAGGTAAATAGAGAAAATGTTCTCTATTTTAATTTTAAATTTTTATGGTTTTAATTTCGTTTCGATGTAGTTCTAACAAAAGAGAAAGAGAGCGGCGTCGAAATAAATTCTCATTAAGGACAATCAACGCAAAATTGATCAAAGGATTTACAGTTCACTTGTAAAGCAGTTATTTCATTTTTTCCTTTGTTAAATTGTATGTCATGGGAATGTATACGAAGCTCGGCAAGATGCCGCATGCGCGCCAGAAAATTTATATTTCGAGGGACATTTTTTTTCGCAGAAGTTTAGATATTCCTTCTGCTATTATGCGGCAGAATGTACTTCTCAACAAAGAGAGGACTTGACGTGTAGCTAAAATGCGCGTACACCAACTGACACGATGACGAAGTTTTCTACAAGTTCGCACGGTGCTTATTAATTAGCAAATTCGATGCAAAGCACGTTCGAAACGTATAAAGCACGTTATCCTTTTATCGCACGGTCACTCGATTACTAACTTACCCCTCGAGGACATCGTAAAGCGCCATGATCAAATGTATAGGCGACTCACGTAGAATTCGAAGATTTGCATCGACATAAATAAAAATGCAGGCAAAATGCAAATTACAATTACAAAAAAATAATCAGTTGGGTTCAAGTATTGAGTCCCTACTCTACGATACTTCTTATTCATTTTATTATATATGTATATTCGTTCATGTTCGCGTATAACTTCTCTCTTTGTAAAAATTACAAGGTAAATATCTTAATGATTGAATTAATAAGAAGGAAAATTATCATTTTTTAATTATTACTGATTAATAATTAGTGATATTACAAAAGAAATTAATCCATGAAACTTTTCGTCGGTTATCAAAAAATACTAACATATAAATCTAAAAAAAGAAATACTTAAATGAAATTTCATATATAGATACATTATATCGTACCGATTGTTTCAACTATAAACTGAAATTTTTTAATTTAATTTTCAATTTTTGTACAATCACAAAATACTACATGTTTAGATAAATACGGTACAATATTTAAAAAATCCGAAAGTGTAAACGCTGTCTTACTCAAGATGAGAAAAAGCCGAATGAAAATATAATAGTCCCTTGAAATAAATAATTTTTTTACAATAATTGGCAATAAATTCTTTTTTAGTTTGCTATTTTTCTATTATTATATTATCAAATATTTTAATAATTACAAATATATTGTTGATTTCAAT